CACACACACACACACACACACACACACACACACACACACACACACACACACACACACATAGTCCATGCAAGTTTTTGTTTTTATACGTATGATGACAGTCGACATTGCACTCATGTACGGCACTCTGACATGTCATGTCCAATTTGTAGATGGGTTGGAACGGCAATGCCTATACAATTGCGGTTGGCATGCCTCTGTGTCTCTAGCATGTAGGACAGTAGGAGCCATGTGGCCTGTGACATCTGTCTACGCTGTGCCATTCGATGCAGCAACTGCAACTGCGAGAATTGGATGCGGTGCTTCCACAGTTCAAAACCGAACCGGTCCTGTCTGGTCTGTGGAGGTGGCCACTTACCATAGGCAACAGCTGCTCCTCAACTCAAGATTTCCTCCAACCCAAACGCTGACTGGCCTAGAATAGTCTGCTCCAACGGTGAGTATTGAGAACCCTGTGAAGTTCGGCATTCCTCTGTTCTGTCCTTTACCCCTCCATTTCCCTTCTCTACTCTTTCTCCCTCCCCCGCCCCTAGCTTCCTACAGAACTTCATCTTCTACCCCTTTTCTTCCTCCCTCTCCTTGTGTACTACTATTAAATGTATATTAATGAGTATCATTAAGAGAACAAACAAAATAATGAACAGGAGTATACCTCCCCCTTTACTCTGCCTCCTTCTGTAACGTGCAAGTGTGCCGTTAAGGCACACGGGGATGTGGGCAGCTGGCGTGGCCAGCGTTTTACGTGAGAGGCACAGTAAAAGGGGCGCTGCAAGAACAAACAAAAGGGGTACCCCGAATTGCTGAAGCAGGGGACACTGGACCCGTTTTCCAGTATGAGCCTAAGCTGGGTATTGGCCCCTGTATTCCGCGTTGAGATGTGGAGGGATTCCCGTCCTCCTTTCGCCCATATAATGAAATCATGCTTCTTTTTTTTTTTTAAGGTCTATGTCATGGTAGAGGGTGGATGCTAGGCCTCGGGAGGTGTCTGTCATTGTACTCAACCAGTGAGGGGATAGGATGGGTTGTGACAACCCCAAGGACAGTCTTCCCCCAGGGGGTGTCACTCGTGACCTGTTATATCCTAATCTTATCGGAAGTACAGCGATGCGACCCAGACCTCTCTATCTAGACCTAGACCTCACCAACCTGCGCCTTCTGAGGCATGGTAGACACTCCCCCCGGGCGCTACTATAGGGACCCCCCGAATCTCGAGGACGGCCCAGATACAGGAGGGGTACACGGTCATTCCCCCCCTGTATCACATCGTGCAGACTCTATGGGTGGTGAAGCCACCCTTCTACATCAATGCGACAACCCTCCCTCCCCTGCCTAAGATGACACCCTACCTAGAAGCCCTTCCCCAGACTCACGCCCAGTCGACCCCTCAGTGGCAACTCACAAAGACAGACACCAACCCGGTTGAAGCCCAGCCCACAAGCATCGTGAGATCAACCTGAACCCCGCCCATGGGAATCGTATACGCCTAACACCCAACCACTAACCACTACTCGAAATCATGCTATTTAAAAAAAAAAAAAAAAAAAAAAAGGGGGGGGTACCCCAAAGGAAGCCAAAGTAAAGATAGTTAAGAAAGGGATATGATGGATCTATTGTGCCCCAGGTTGCTTGCTAGAGGTAAAACTGTTTCCTTGTCGAATTGGCTCATCTCAAGTGCGATTCGTTGTCTGCAATAGGACTAAAGCTACTTCGACTTTGGATCTACTCATCTGCGTGGAACAGGGGCTGTTGTGGTGAAAATCTAAAACACACACACACCCAGACAGAGTCTGTGTAAGTCCAACCACACAGTCTGGCTGTAGCATGCTGAGGCCGCTACACGGGCCCTGTTTTGGGGCCCGATGGTTGTTCCAGGGCCGCAGGCCGCGCACCCATTTTTGGTGAGCGACCTGGAGGCCCACGGCCATATTCCAGGCCAGGCCCCCAACATTTACTATTTTTGCTTCTTGATAGGTTCGGCCGTTGTAGGCCAGGTTCAGATTTGTCCGTATGTGGGACTGGACCAGGCATTCGTCTGTTCATGCCTGGCCCAGTCCTCAGGACCCTGCTGCATCAGCAGGATTGCCTGGACGTCCGGTAGGGACCCAGGCAGGCCGTTTTTGGCCAGGATCATAGGACCAGGACTGGGGCCTGCAATCAGGACCATCGATCGGACATCAGATCCGACGGTCCTGATCACAGACCGAGGACTGCTCAGCCAGTCCCAGCGATATATAGCTGGGCCAGTCCTCCACTTTGAGGACATTCGGGCTGGAGCCTCAGTTGGGCGTTACGCTGCTTGAGCAGCGCCAGTTTGGGGAGAGCTGTAATAGAGCAGAGTTAGAGGAGTAGAGAAGCAGGCTGGAGTGGAGAGATTTGTGGATGCCACGTCCACGAGGGAAGAGAGAGACTTACCTGGGCGCCATAGCTGGGACTTCATACAGGTCATGGACCGGCCTTCAGCAGCGACCTGCATCGCGAGTCATCACCTTCGCTGGTCAGTATTCGTGGCATCATCATCAGGAGCATGTGAGAGAGGAGAGTTCTTCATCTTCTTCTCCTTCTTCTCCTGATTCTTCTCCGCCCCTCCATAGGCACTATTCTTCTTCTTCTTCTTCTCCTCCTCCCTCTTTTCTTCTCTTCTCCAGAGAGAGAGGGAGGGAGAGAGAGATTTCAGGCAGTGACTATTTCGGGCCGTGGAGCGCAGGCTCTGATTCGACATTTTCGAGGACAAACATTCGTTGGACATTTGACGGGAAACTATTTCTTGGACGACTACGAGTTCTACTCTTGACCTATTTCCCCTCTCCATCTTTGTCTCTCCTCCCCCTTCATCATCCGTGGTTTCTCCCCATATGCATGCACAAGGAGGGATATTTCTTTTGTGTATGATTTCCCTCCTTGCTGTGTGACGTGTGTGATGATGATTGTGTGAGTCAAGTCTGGATCTGATCTGTCAGGTCATATCTTTGAGTCTTCTGCTGTGCTACATTGCATTATCTCGTCTTGTTTTGAGTCCTGTTCATCACACTGGTGCTCCTTGGACATCTGCACCGCTCATCTTCAGATGAGCATGCATCAGTTTGGTATCGGAGCGATCCAGAGTGAAGTAGGACTGACCTGAAGTGATTGATCAGCGGAGAAAGTTGATTGGTTGGGACCGCTGATCAATCAGTGCATCGACTGATCAATCAAGGTGATTTGCTTGATTGATTAGTTGATTGATTGATTGGTTAATCAATTGATTGATTGATTGATTGATTGATTGATTGTTGTTGTTGTTGTTGTTGTTGTTGTTGTTGATTGATTGATTGATTGATTGATTGATCGATTGATTGATTGATTGATTGATTGATTGATTGATTGATTGATTGGTTGGTTGGTTGATTGATTGATTGATTGAGTGAGTAGTAGTGGTATTTTCTTCCCAAGATCCGCAACTTTTTCCTTTCTCTGATTAATCAGGTTACTCCTGAACTGTGTTGTTGTGGCCAGAGAGCGTCGACATTGACATACGAGTTCATTGTATTGCTCTTATTTGAATGGTATTTTGGTGCATTGTGTTCTCTGCTTGGTACATGACTATCTGGGCTACTTCGTGATTTTGCAACTTGGATTTCTGTCTATCACTCTCGCTCATATTCCTTGCAATTTGGTATCGGAGCTAGTTTGATATCGTCGTTACCGGTGCTGGCGACTTTGTTACTTGGTGCGCTGACGAGGCTTCTACGCAGTGAGGATACATTGGCGCTGACATGTTTAGGCACTCCCGGGTAGAGGGGAGACTGGCTGGAAGGCTGTGGCAACAGCGTGGGAGCTGTGGCGATAGCGGATGTGTGTGGGATGATGAGAGCATGTTGACATTGCATTTTGGGTAAGGTGGCACTCCATTGCATTGTGTGTGGTACCGAGGCTATGACCGGTCATCAAACTGCACATCGGCTCAATTGGTGAGAACTTTGTGGTTGGGGCAGCTGTCTTCAGGTACTTTGTTCCCTTCCCTTATCTTCCCATCTCAATCTCTTCTTACTGTGAGGAAGTGAGTTCGACTTGAGATTCCTCTTCTTGGTCAGGAGTCGTGAGTGCTCTACCTTGAGAGTCGACATTCTTCTTGGTGGCGCATCTAGCAGGAGAGGGTGGTGCCTCTGAAGGGCCTTGGACGAAGCACGGGTCACAGTCACCATGCCAACCCACGGGAGTAGTGCACGCAGGCCATGTTGCATTGTCCTTTGAGCTCTTTGCTGCGTTGTAGAGGGAACGTGGACTGGCCAGTCCTATGCGAGACGTGTACCAGACCGTCTATTAAGAACCTCTGGTGGGATCTGATATCTGGCTGTGATCGTCGTCTTGTCTGCAATGTTAAATAATTCCTGAGGACTTTGGGGGTTGTCCTTAAATTGCCTCTTGATCGGCCAGATCATCGGAGTAAGGCTTGTTGCACACGAGGATAAATGAAGGGCAGTTCTGGCCATAAACGGATTCTTGGGCACAGGGGTGGGCCGATATGCACACCTAAGACACCGTTGCTTGATGATGCAAGACAGGAACGTCAGATACAGGGGAAGGGAAGGTTCCAATTGGTGCTCGTACACAAACACAATTATTTCCATTTCTGCATACATCTGCGCAAGTGATTTTTTTTAATTTTTTTATTAGTTGAGGTGTGACCGACCGCTAACACCTGACAGACAGCATTAGATTAGAATTTAGAACTGTAGTAGTCTACCATTGCCAGTTTGTGTGATGCCACTGTAAGAGAACTGATTGAAGTAGGAGTAGATCATTTGCCCAGTCTGTGCATATTTTGTTGACATCACCTGATCGGTAGCCTGGTTGACTTGCCGAATATT